GAATTTGGTGCAGGGAAACTGGGGACAAGGCACTTGCAGTCTTCTCCATTTTATTGAAACTGATCTGGGGCGTAGTAACCTAAAGGTTGAAGGGGAAGTGGAGGGGGTCAACTCCTAAGCGGCAAGTAACAAGTAGCGGGGGTCGCTATGAAGATAAGCAGCGCTGCTCGCAAGTGAATGCCAAACACTCATCAAGTGTAATGAGTGCAGTGAATGAGTAATCGAGTGTCCTGATTTGATCACATCGCCACCCCGTTTTCCCTATTTTTCCAACACTCCCTTCACAATCAAATGCGATTTTCCCTGCAGATGCAATTTTCACGCATGCATACTTATATATCTATATGTATATACCCATTTGCAATCGCAATCACATTCACATTTGAGGAGGAAATCAACACAAATTATTTATTCTTTGAGCGAATCGAATCTTGGCTCATTTCGTAGTGAATAAATCTTGACATTCCAGTGAATGCAGTGCGTAATGACTTCTAAATAAATAAAATTCTTTGAGAACATACATGTGTATTTATTGAGAAGTATTTAAGATAGATCTTTGAATTTACGCATGAATAAGAAATGTTTTCTTTCAAAATAATTCTGTATTTAAATTTAGTTTATTTTTGGAGTTGTAAAGGTTTTCCACAATAATCAATACACAAATAAAATAGTTAATATTTAAATTTATGATATCCAAACTCGTGAGATACTTTTCAATACAAATATTCAGTAATTGTTCTAGATTTCTCATATTTGATTTGTATCCAATTGCCCTTTCCTGGTGAAGGCTTATTCAATCACTGCATTCACTCACTTATTCATTCGCCGCTTGAGTTTAATTTGCGAGTGTCTGCTGCTCACCTATTCATTCGCTCAATCAGTGAGTCGTTCACTCATTTATTCACTACCAGCTGGTTGAATGCCCGCTAGGCAGTTTTCGAGTCCTGCTACCGAACCGCTGTCAATGTCCCTGCCATTGTCCTTCGTCTTTCGTCCTTCGTCCTTCCTCAGCTGGATGGGAGGTGGACGGGAGGAGCAATGAAAATACCTGCAAGGAAATTATACGAAAACTGAACAAGCCAAAAACAACGGAAGGTTGTTATTTTAGAGTTCAAGTTAAAGTTAAGCAGCGCCCGCGGCATTCGACGTTCTCAACGCTCAGCCAGGACTTCAGAGCAAGGACTCGCACTGAAGGCAGCCAAGGACTCAGAACTCAGGAGCCAGGATCCAGCAGCCAGCAGCCAGGAGCCAGGAGCCAAGAGCAGAGCTCCAGCTCAGTTCCCCAAGACGGGGATTGGGCAGATGCGACAGCAATGAAGTGCACTCGAGATGTGAATGGGCTGAAGTGTTTTCGGTGCTCTGTTTGTGTCCCCTTCTCCCTCTATGTGTCTCATTGCTGCCGTTCGTCAAGTTGTGCACTGCGAGAATATCCCCTGAAGAAAGGGGTAAAATTATAGCATTCAAATAAGGAAAAAATTACCAAATTCTAACTAACACACAAACACATTTTGTAAGAAGTAAAGGAAAAATTACTGGCATTTAAGCAAAAATAATATAAAACAATTATAATTATATTTGAGATTTTTTTCAACAATTATTTAGAGGTTTATTCATGCAGCTTTATTCACAGCTGTATTTAATTATATGATTAATTTTTAAAGCATTTATTAATAAGAGTAAACGGAAACAGTTTCACTAAATATCTGAAACAAGCATTTTGAATTATGGTTTCTCATTCTGTGCCCACCTTCTCCGATTTCTCGCTGTGTATACAAGCAGCTAGGATATCCTAGCCCACGTTCCATTGAGCCGACTCCCCTTTCCCCCCATCACTTGTTACTCGTATCTTTGTGGAACAATTTTGCCTGAATGCAAGCGGCAAAATGGTTGAATGGGCGAATGAATGAATGAGTGAATGGGCATATCCCTGCCAGCGCCGCTTCCTTGTCCTTCGTCCTGCGAATTTTCCTATCTGCCGGCCCATTCGAACGGCGCTGAAAAGTTTCTCTCACTTTGACTTAAGTGCCACGCCCCCCCGCTCCCCCTCTCTCCCCCTTTTCGACGCCCCTCCTCAAGTGAACAATTCGAGTGTTTGTGCGCCGTTGTTGCTGGTGCAATTAGTGAAGAGCGCACTATTATTATTATCATTATGAATTTTAAGCAATCAACTGCGAGAGCAGCAACAATTAAACTTAAAGTTGGCGACTTGGCGAACTCCTCCACTTTTCCACCGCCCATTGAAAGCTGGAAAATGTAAACAGTGCGGACCGCGAAAAGCTATGGAAATTGAATGGCGCTCTTCTTTTTTGTTTTTCCCGTGTTTTCCTCGTATTTATTTTGTTGTTTACCTATGATAATTGCGATGTTTATTTATGGGAAAAGTCAAAAGTGGGTAAAAATGCCACCGCTGGCTTGTTGGCGGTTCGAGGGAAATTTGTTCTAGCCGAGTGAATTGTTTTTCCTATATTTCCATTCATTTCTGTTTTTATTTATCTGTGTTTATTTTCCTCAAGCTGCTGCAAAGGTTCCTAACTGCAGAATGGTTTATTTAAAAGTTGAAACGATCAACCAAATGGCTTATTAAACTAAGCTAAAAATAATTAAATTTAATATGCAGAACAACTTGGAAAAGTAAAATGAATAAGCTGTGATATTTATTTTCCAGTAATTCTTTGAATGAAAAGAAATGGAGCAGAATGCCATTTTATAATTTATATATATTCAGTAAACCCAGAAAGGACTATAAACTTTCGGTGGCCCAGTAAACCCATTGTTTTGCGATCCATTTTATTTTTTAATTATTCTTTGATGTGGACTCTTATCTTTAATTAGACCGAGCAGAATGAGCCACGATTTATGGCTGGTGAGAAAAGGGAAATTGTTGCACAATTAAGCAAACTTCCTTCGGTGCGGATACGTATATAATAAGGGGTTTTCCGCCCATAGTTTCCTTCGTCTCGAGGCTTCTCTCTCTCTTATTTACAGCGCAATCAAATTTAACTGTTTAAACAAGCGATGAAAAGATTCTGCTTTTCACCCACACTTACACACACACACACCACTACACTAGCACATATGCGACGGGTGGTGCAGTCATTGTCATTGCCAGGAAAGTGGGTGGTTGGTTGGGTGGTTGGTGGGTGGTTGGTTGGGTGGTTGGTTGGGTGGTTGGGAAAATGCAAAACAATTTCAGGCGAATTAGCGTAATTGTCTCGCCGCTGCTGTTGCTTCAGCTTCTGCTCCTGTTTCTTCTGAGACAAAAGAGCCACTGAGAAAAGGACGTAGAAACAGCAGCAGGACTCAAGCTACTTAATCCTCTAATTTGTGTGTGTCTCTGTGTGTGTGTGTGCTTGTTGTGTGGGCCACGCCCACTTTCTGGGCTTTCGTGGCGCCCAAGCGAAGCAAAGTTTGCCCTCATTTATATGCAAAAATGTAAACCAAAAAATCAGCGAGAATGTTAAATCCAACAAAATGCATTTAACACATAAAAATTTGCATAGAAAGTGGCTTCGGTAAACCCCCCTGGAAACCCCATTCCCCCTTCCCCATTCCATTCACCCATTTTGCCATTCCAGCTTGGAATACCGGAATACCAGAATACCGCACTATCTGGAGTGCGAGGAGCGGAACAATTGAAGTTAATTTTATTTTTATTATTTTTATTTTTATTTCCGGCACCCGCTACTCAACTATTATTGTCGTATTCCTTGGAGTCTGGTTGCCACGCCCTAATTTAACCAGTTAACAATCTTAACCTTCGGTTAGAGTGCGCCTCTTCAAGCGCTTCTTAAAATATTTTTTTGTATCCACAGTTTCTTATTTAGTATCGCTCTAAGTCTTAAGTTATCATTTTGACCTATGCTCATTTCATATTTTTTCTGAGTAAATAATAGAAGACTCGTCATAGCTCCGATATTTCTTAGCCTCTATGCATTTTGCTGGACATTTGTTTGCCTTTCTTGTTTTCCTTTTTATTCCCAAAAATTCCCATCCAAAACTAAAACTTTCTTGAACAAGTCAACTCGTCTTCTGTTAAAGTGCACTCCTTAGGATTTCAGCTTGTTCGATTGGACACTTTATAACATTTCACTTTCGGAAGGGCAACGTTCCCCCCGCACTTCCTCCTCCTTTCATTTCTGTCCATTTCTTATTACGTATTTGTAACCAATTGGTTGCCAAAACCCCCGCTCTGAATTCACGCTCAGTCAATTTTTTGTTGCCATTTCTGCTGCTGCTGCTGCTGCTGCTGTTGTTGCTGCTGCTGCTGCTGCTGTTGTTGCTGCTGCTGCTGCTGCTTTTGCTGCTGCTGCTCCTGCTGCTGTGTCCTTTGTGTTGTTGCTGTTATTGCATGTGTTGAGATTCTCATGGAAATTTGCATACAAATTGCGTCTGGCGCGTAGGAAGCCGTTGGTTTGGATGGCGGTGCCGGGATATATGTACTACTACACTCACACAAACACACTCTCTCACACACACACACACACAGTAGCAAAGGATGGGGACAGCTGGCTCGACATGCGTATGGGGTTAACGAAGGGTTAACACAACACAAAAAACCAAGCCGGAATATATAAAAAAAAAAATAGAAAACATTGCCAACAACGGCGGCACCTGACAACTGTCAAATTTTGTGGGTTACCATCGATAAATAAAATGGAGGACAACTTTATGGCGGCCGCAAGGGAAAACATTCCCTCACAGATTCATCGAGAATATTATTTTATAGTTTTTAAAAGCCACGAAGAGAGACATGTTAGTGAAAGCACTGATATGTCAATCTGGCACAATTTAAGATTTATTTGATAAGAAAGGAGTGGAAAGTGAGAAACCTTTTTGGTATCAGACGTATTGATATTATTATTTAATAATTTTGGAAGGAATCAGCAAACTAAAGGATATAGGAAATACTCTGCCAGCTACATTTATTATGTTGGTTTAATTTTTAGCACTTTAGCAACAAAGTAGCCTTATACGAAAATAAAAAGTTTTACACTGACATACGTAGGCATAGAACATACAATCACTAGATTTTCCAGAATCACACTGAAAAACAAAACAACCGACTCCGGGAAACTGTTGTGCAACTCACCGAAGGAGAAACTCAGACAGAAAGCAATGAGTTCCAATATTGAAGACATTATCTGGACGATCAAGAACGGGGAGTACGATGAGGTGGAGCGCGTTTTCCTGGCAGGATTGCATAATGTCAACGATCAGATGGGCCTTCGATTTCCCCTGCACTACGCCGCCGATTTCGGCCAGTTGAAGCTGCTGAAGTTCTTTGTGAGAATTGGAGCGGATGTTGATCGGAAGGACAAGTACGGCATCACGCCCCTTTTGGCGGCAATTTGGGAGGGGCACACACGGTGCGTCGAGTTCCTGCTCGAAGTGGGCGCCAGTCGGACTGGAAGGACTCCCGAAGGACTCAGCTATGCAGAGGTCGCCGAACAGGACGAAATCCGACGCCTTCTTGAGCGCAACTAAGGTGATAGATGGTTTCAGAAAGGCTTCGTTCCATTCCAGTCATTTGTTTACAGCTTATAAATTTATAGTGTATTTCAATTTTTGCCTTTGTGAAATTGGAAATTGAACAACAAGCGTTGTACAAAAACCTTTGACATTTAAAAATACATTTCAGGTGCTTTTATGCCTTACCAAGTCTGTTGCATAAATATTTATGTGAAAATGTACTCAACAACAAGCGTTGTACAAAAACCTTTGACATTTAAAAATACATTTCAGGTGCTTTTATGCCTTACCAAGTCTGTTGCATAAATATTTCTGTGAAAATGTACTCAAATAAATTATAATCATTATTTAAATTCAAAAAACTGAAAGAAATTAATTAAAAGGATATATTTTTTTTAGCTGAAATAAGGGTTTTTACGTTTTATTTAAAAATTATAAAATCAATATTTTCTCGTAACCGTTGACTCCCCAATTTAGGAGTTCCAATTAATTTGTGAAGTAGAAACGCTCATGGATTGATTTGTCTAAATGTTGTTGATGCGGTAACAAATAAATAGAAGTTGATAAGTAATAAACACCCTTGTAAGACCCCCAACATCTTAAGTTCTTTGTAAACTATTTATCAGTTGCTTGCTAGGTGCATTTGAGTCTTTTTAATTTGTACAGCTAATATAATTCGATTGATATTCCTCAAAATGAATTAAAACTTATTGTTCTGGTGGCAAGGCTCAACTAAATCGCTCTGTCTTTATTGATTAACATTGGAGATTATGTACAATTAGGGTCAGTGAGAAACAGCAACAAATATTAGAAATTTAGTGATGGTTACCAACTGCTTGAGGCCCAACCGCCCTGAGGGGCCCAACCACCGCCGGAGGAGGAGGAGTAGCTGGAGGCACCACCGCCATAGCCACCGCCGTAGCCACCGCCGTGGCCACCGCCGTAGCCACCGCTCGATCCGGAGTCGGAGATTACCTTGATGATCTTGATGTTGCCACCGCTTCCGTAGCCACCGCCGCCATATCCACCGCCACCGCCGGAAGACCAGCCACTGCTGTGACCACCGCTGTAGCCACCGCCTCCGTAGCCACCGCCTCCGTAGCCACCGCCGCCTCCGTAGCCACCGCCGGAGGACCAGCCGCTTCCATGGCCACCGCCTCCGTAGCCACCGCCGCCGCTGTAGCCGCCGCCTGCTCCGGAATCGGTGATCACCTTGATGATCTTCACCGTGCTGCCGCCTCCATAGCCACCGCCTCCATGGCCACCGCTGTAGCCACCGCCTCCGTAGCCACCACCACCACTGTAGCCACCGCCGACGCCATGGCCACCACCGTACCCTCCGCCGGAGGACCAGCCGGAGCTGACGGCACTACTACCCCCTCCACCGCCGCCCAGGAATCCCGCGTGGGTCATGCTGCAAACCGCCAGCAAACAGACGAAAACCTGCAAGAGATTGGCAGGAATCGCGTTAGTCGAACTCACAATGGCACACATAAAAAAATACTTGAACAAAATAGTACCAAAAGTAGTACAAAAAAAAAAAAAAAAAAAGGAAAAAAAGTAATTTTCACTTTCTGCGAAAGTGTTAAGCCGCGATAGTTGAATTAACCACTTGGCGCACCTTCATTTCGACGTTTTTTTCGAGATTGATTGTTGGGAAGAACTGCGAACTTGTGTCCGGCTGGAAGGGCGATCTTCGACTGTGGTCTGCAGCGTTTTGGCCGCCGCTTTTATGGCCGGCGACTCGGATGCTCGGTAACCAGCTTGGCTCACTTAACCCTGCCCTGCCCCAACTGCCACAGCGCACAGTGGGCTCAATAGAGTCAAGATTGAGGTAAAATTCAAATAACCAGGCAAGAGATTGCGATGTCTTTGTTTGCCAGCTTAAGTTTATAGCTCATAATATCCTTGAATTAGGTGCATGATGACATCTTCATTTCAAGTCTCACGAATATATTATTAAAAATGATTTGTTTTATAAAGAATATTTACTCAAATATATATTTATCAATAATTTGTAAGAAAACCAAAAGTACAAATGTCCGTTCTTTAGGAATTGCTATATTAACTCCCCTTTTATATTCGGGTGTGATGGTATTTTTTCATTTAAGAGGCAGTCAGCATCTTTAAAATATAAACCAACTCAGCTTAACCACCAGCAAAATAATATCTATTATATATTACTCCTCTGCAAGTAAATTTTATTGAAAAATATTCGTTTTATTTATTTATTTCCCTCTAGTTGATAGTGTTATATTTTTCCCTAAATTCCATTAATTCCCCCTTAAATATAGAGGAATTGTGACACTGTGTGGAGTCTGCTCGTGTATGACACACTAATTGCCGGTCCACGCGATGCTCCGTTCGGGTTGCGGCATCATCATTACCATTACCATGACCATTACCATTCGCACCGTTGTTAAGCTGCATAAGGGCAACGGCCCTGACCCCACCTCATCCCCATCCCCATCCCCATCTCCATCTCCATCGCCATCTCCATCCAATCCTGGCCCAACCGATCCCATTCCAAACGATCTCCACCCGCGGCTCCATGTGCCCCCAGCTAATTTATGTGTCTTGGCCGTGTTGCAATCCAGGCAATCCAACCTAAGCTGTCAAGTGGGCTAACTTGCATCGAAAACCCGACCGAACGGAAACCGAAACCGAAGTTAAAGCCCCAAGATACTGCACTTGCCCGGCTAAAAGCCAAAACCGTTTGATAGCGCATTTTCGGCTCGTTATGCAACTCATCCAAATCGACACAAAGTTGCAAAAATAATAAACAATAGCTGCCCGCAGCATGATCCAATAAACAGGTAGCGATCGCACCACCAGCCAGTGGTGCGGATTCAAAATGTTTTTGTACCTGAAAACCTTTAAAACCATCCGCAATCTTACAATACATTTCATACTTGCTTTACTAATTAAAACGAAAGAAAAATTGTTCATAAAGAAGCTACATTATGTTTTTAAGTTATTAAGATAAAAGAGAAGGGTTCCTAAATAACATAGTTTTATTATAATTAAAACTAGTTAAAAAATGGTATTATAATTAATACAAGCAATATCTTCATGCTTTTAGTTATCTTAACTTTTTTCATAGAAGTGTAATTGCAAAACTTGTGTTATTATTTTATTATTTAGAGTAATTTTGGCATCTTTGCTGCCGACACAGTTTCAATCTTGATTGATTCGGCCAACGCGATCGGGGCACCATTAACTCTTGGCCCGCAGTGGCGATGGGTCAAACAGAATGCTTATTAATTGTCGGTTCCACCAACTCGATTTGGCTGCAGACAACCTTCACTTCTCGATCTGATAGATGAGCCATACATTTTCCGCCGATTGTCGGTGATTTCATGTTCGATTTGAATGGCCTTTGGCGTCACGAACCCAAAACTATCGGATCAGTGATCGGATTATCAAGGAAAACCCATCTGAAGAACATTTTGAAAGGGTTTACAAATTAACAACTTAACACAAACAGCAAACACCACTTACAAAACTACATAAATACTTTGTGAAAAATATTACTAGTTTGTTGTGTATATTTATTTTATATTAATGGACTTTATTGTGTATTTTACCCAATTTTAATAAAATGCAGAAATTTATAAAAACCAAAAATAATTAAATGCAATTGTAAAAAACAAACAATTCTTTTAATGCATTTCAGTTAGCACAATCGGAACACATTAATTTTTGATGGACATTTCTTTTGGCTATCCGCTTTTTGTGATGATTTATTTCAACCTTTGATTTATTATCGTACAATTAGTGATTATTTAACGGCGTCTGCTGTGTTTTATGTGCTCCATTTAATTTTTTTATTTATATATGTATTTGTAGTTGTTTTGAAGGAAATGGAAAAATTACCTCTCAAATTAAAGGTGTCATTCCCAACATCAAACGCAACATAATTTCCATAGTTTAAATACAAATTCGTGTAACAGTTGAACAGCCATTAAAAGTAATTATATTTGACATTTGGGAAATATCCATAAACTTTGGGATTAAATGCAGGTCGAAAAAAATCGTATGCATGGGATCAAACACACTTATACAATCTTAATTAGTCATCCTATCGTCTAAGCATCCATTAATTAAGCCATAAAATATGTATGCTGATGCCCACAAAAAGCCGGAGATCACGAACTTGTGGATAAAAACAAAACACAAAGAGCTGAAAGATTTAAATCCGTTTTCGTTCGATATTAACACTCTGCCCATACAAAACTTGTTACGGCACCATCAAATACAGTGAATATAATGATGGAAATTCGAAACAAAACCGAGGCGCATCCGCAATTATATTTTTTTTTGGAGGGGGGAATTACTTATCTCACAGCATGGTCAGAATAGACATAATTACCACACGGTAATGGTTTCATTCCCTTTTCGATGCTGATGATGCTCAACTCGATTTGACCTTCAGCTTAACCCATTTAACTCCGTGGGTATCGAAATCAATCGTAGGTTAAATGAAATTATGGGTTTGCCTTAGTACATTTTATCAGTTTTTTTTTTTTAAACTATGAAAGATACCCTATAAAACACATAAATGTATTATAAATATATATATTTATCATTTAAATATTATAAAATCTCAGCACCAGATCAAATGCAAATCAACAATTTGATTGTCAAAAGTTTGCTCTACAATTTTTAACTTGTTAGTGACGTTTGTTTTCATTCCAAAATTGCCAAGTAATTTTTTACCCAATAAGACACAATAAACCACTTGGTGAGTGTTACGTTAAAAATTAAAAGGCAAACTGGTTTCAAATATTTTATGTAATTGCGATTATTCGAGTGCCTTCAAAAAGTGTCGCAAAATGGGTTAAGTGGAAAGCGAAATCGGGCAAACAAAGATGGTCAGAAAAACCCCCGAACATGAGCAATCACTTATTGGGGCTTTCCAATCGTTAGACAAAGAACAAATCAGAGTTTGTAGTTTTTTTTTTGTATCTTTCATATATTTTGTAAACAATTAACAAAAAAAAAAATAATGGCTTTTAAGCGCACACACAAAACGCGTGCACTATCTTAAAAATAACTTCGTAGCTTCAAAAAGGCCAAAATCGACGCACAGCTCCAACAACAAGGAACAAGGGAGTTGACATCGTGGCACTGGATTACCGTTATCCGGGAATCATCTTAGTTCCATCCGCCGGAGGACCAACCACCAGAGGATCCACCAGAGGACCAACCACCAGAGGATCCACCGGATGACCAGCCACCAGAGCTTCCGCCATCGGCGATTCCGGAGCTGATCAGCTTGATGATCTTGATCTCCTCGGCGGCGTGACCGTGTCCATGGCCTCCGCTGGAGTAGTCGTAGCCGTGACCATGGCCGTGGGACTGCTCCTCCTGGATGACCTTGATGATCTTCACCTCGCCTCCGTGGGAGTGTCCATGTCCGTGATCGTGGCCGTGACCGTGGGAGTGGCCGCCCTCGCTGATCACCTTGATGATCTTCAGCTCCTCTCCTCCGTGGGAGTGGCCGCCGGAGTATCCACTGGCCCAACCGCCGCCTCCATGGGGAGCCTCCTCGCTGATGACCTTGACAATGGTGGGTGTACTGCCGCCGCCGGAGGACCAGCCACCACCACCGCCGCCGGAGGACCAACCACCACCGCCGCCGGAGGACCAACCACTGCTGCCACCACCTCCAATGAATCCGGAATTAACCAGGCTGAAACAGGCAATCAGGCAGATGAACACCTGGGAGAGAAAAAACAAAATAATAATTAAAATGAAAGATCATAGATCAAAGATTAATAGTTATAAAATATATAATATCTTTTATATTCCGCTTTACTCTGATAGATATCAATGAAACTATCAGTTTTTGTAGTCCATAGGAGTCGTATGAAATCAAAGTGATAAAATCAAAGGCTAAGCCCACCTTCATTTTGTTGTCGGCTGAACTTGGCTTGAACTGGCGCTTGACGCTGGACGAAGTGAGATTGGGGAGCTGAGCTCGTTAACTGATGCCAATGCTCTGCCCCGGGGCTACTATTTATATGCCCCAAATGTGGGTCACGGCGCAGAGAAATGCTCTTCGGTCACCATTTCCACTCCGAAAATAAGGTGACATTCGACGACCCAAAACGGCATTACTAATGCACCGATTTTTCCAAGAGTCTTAATCATGCAGTCGATTAATCAAGTCGGTTCAAAGGTCACCAAGCCCTGGCATTCTCAAGACCAGATTGGAGATCAGTGATGACACTCAAAGTGAAAGGTTAAATTATTTAATAATATTTAATATAATAAATATAAAGGTGTATTATGAATACAATTCCTATTCGGATTGCCAATTGTTTCTTGAGATTGCTCATTTAATCATTTTAAATTAGGTGAATAAAAGGGTTAGGTGTCTTGGCAACACTAATAAACAGCGGAAAAACACCTCAACAGGTGTTTCATTGTGATTTGATTTTAGCCAGCGACCGGTTTTCGTAGTTCGCGAATCTCTTTTTTCGCACTGAATTCACTTTCGTGCACCAAATTGGCAAGACACTTCAGATGGCCGAATTATGCAAATGTTCGTGTGGGTCAAAGTGAAAGAAGCCAAAATCAAATCAAAAAGCCAGAGAGCCAGCCACTTACTATTGCGTATGCACATCTGCTTAATTAAGCCCCAAAAAACATCGCCTCCGAAATGCAGAGAGCTTGTTTTTTTATTTTCGGGCAGACAGATGATAAATATTTCCCAAAAACCCATTTGGCAACTTTCTAGTCGTTCCAGCGTTTGCATTTGCCTCTTTTTCTGGCATTGTACTCGTTAGCATCAGCCATATTTGTCTTTATGATTTTTCTCGCCACACGAATAACATTCTGTAATGACTCCAAATATTTTCACTAGACTCTAAAGTTACCACACGGCGTACACAAGACGGCGTAACTAGATTTTTGGCCTTGCTTGCATCACCTTTACCTACTGATGAAGTGCCGCAAATATTGATGGCATGATCGGCATATTTGCAATCGACGACGACACTTTAAGTTGCAAACACATCGATTGCTGATTTGTGGATGCGGAAAAAAGAAAATATGCTTGCTTTCAGTGAAAAGTTTTTAGCTTAGAAAACGTTTTTAAAAGACATTTTACAGGTGTTGTATTTTTGAGTAGAATTCCCAAGATAAACTACTTAATCGGTTCCTTTAGAATTAAATAAAAAATATACTAGAGCTTATTATTTGGAATTAAAGTAATATTACCTTCGTTGCAAACTTCAGACTGAAATTATAATACCCTCTGCAAGGGTGTAAATTTAACATTTTTAAAAAATGTTACCCCTTTTTAAAAATTTGATTGTCCTTGGACAAGTTAACTGGTTGGCATCACTGGCTTCCCCGGGAATGCGACCGACTCCGCCCCTGTCCCGCCCCTTTGCCGCCCCCGAGGCTCCCCTTCTGCCATTAGGTTCGATTTATCATCGTTATCCTGGTGTTCGGCGTTTAATATGCAAATCGGGCTCACGCATGAACGCCCGAACATATGCAACAAGACACGCAGCAGGCCAAATGCGATAAATATGTTGATGCGGTCGGGTTTTTTCCACTACCAATTGCCCGCCGGCGGCGCTTTCCGCTTTTTTCCCTCAGCATTCTTCATTAAAAATAATGAAAATTGAATTTAATTCGCTTGTCGGGCCTAATTATAATTATGTTAATGGCGCATGTTTTTCCACAAAATTTACACAATGTTTGTCCAAATCGTCAACGGATTTTCCTGTAGCGAAACTGCCGGCAGATACTACTATATATCCGCGAAATCATGTTGCATTCCACTTTACATATCGTGACAGGGAGTCTCGTTGGGTTTTAGTTGGCGAACGCTAATTGGAAGTACTTTAACTGATTTTAAACATGCATTTTTGATAGCACAAGGCACATTATCATTAGTTTGGGGGATAAACCAACTGAATATCAAATTACAGACTTATAGAACAAATATATTAAACAAATATATTTAAACTATTGTAACAACATACTGATAAAATAAAAAAAGTAAACAGAAACCAGATTCACAATATTCCTTATTTATTTTGAATGCTGATCTAACCCAACTAATTTTAATGCCAGCACTTGAGATGTAATCGCTCACTTGAAAAAATATCCATTTCACATCTTAACCTTTTCCGCAATGCCCGCCTTTCCTTTTTCCATTTTCCTTGATTTTCCCTCCAGCCAGAAATCGTTCGCTTGTCGCTAATTTTCCCACTTTAGTTTACCCAACGATATGGAAACAATCGCTGAGCTTTAACCAAACCGAAAATCGGGCGATGGGAAAAAGGGGTGGCGCAAAGGGAGGGGAAGGGAAAGGGGAAGAGGGGTTGGGGGTGGGGGCGGGGGTAGCATTTCGGTTTTGGCCAAGTTGGTTACAGCGATTGAATTTAATTAGCTTATCATGAAAGCGTATTCCACATAAATTTATCAAAATTGCTTTACACAGCAGCAGAGTCAGAGGCTTTCGAAAAAGGGGGGCACAAATTGCATTACGACCCGCCCATTAAACTGATAAAAACGAGAGCCTGGAGTGGTGGGTGGTGGGTTGTGGGTGGTGCTGGTTGGTGGGTAGGTGGGTGTTTTTCGGTCGGTGGCAAAGGGAAAACCCGGCCAGGCGACACTTTAAAGTTGATGGCTCGAGAGAGAATCTAAAATCAAATTTATTAACGCACATTACAACGCGCTCACTTCATAGCACAACCATGGGTGCTGGGGTAAAGGGGGGAAGTGGGGAAAGGGGGTTGGGGGTGGTTTGAAAATAATACAAGGACCGCTGCTCTTTGTTTTCCGGCAACGCGCTCGGAAGTGTATTTATTTTTACGCCAGCAAAAACCGAAAAAAGTGCAGTGTTCGGTCAACAGCCTGAGGTTCAAAAAGCGCCGAAAATCATTTCAATGCGGCTTAAATGAGAAAAAATTACAATACTTTGATAAAAAAAAATGTAAGGGAAAAGCGGATACAATTTTGTATGTTTGAATAGTGATTTTTATAGGATACAAAATTCTACACAAGCTGACATTTTTTACAACTAAGCCGTAGATCGCCTTTCATGTCCGAGTTTTAACTATAAATATTTCGACTTGAAGATGTTATCATTTTAAAAAATACTGCATATGTTTGAATAGTTATAAATATTGTACAGTTTAATGTTAGTATATAAATGTTTTTTTATTTTCTCTTGACTGTCTGTTTAAATATTAAATTCAATAAGTTATTTAAATTTGAAGAATTTTGTCAAAGGAATAGTAGAAATAGCTTATCTATTGATACACCTTTCCCCTTTTGATTTGTAAACAAATGAAAGTTATGTAAACCATAATTATTGGGTAACTGGTGTGGCTTACGAACTCCCCCGATTAATTATTTCACTCCAAAATCGAAATCACGACAGTCGCCGCACTCCGCCCCACTTTGCTTCACCTTCGGCTTATTCCACTTAAGTGGCTGCAGCGAAACACACACTCGTATCTGTGGCATTGTGACCGACCATTAAGCCATGATTACAGCGCCGTGAAGGCGACACCCCGTGCGGCATATGGCCACCGTTCCGCCCCCCCCAATCCCCTCGAGTCCGCCGATTCCCCCCGCCCACCGGATTTCTATGGGTTTGGCGGGCCTTAAGCCGCTTGGCAAAGTTCGCTCGACTAATTCCGCCTTATCGACGGGGCCTTTGCTTTGAGGCATCCACTTTGATAGCTGGCCAACTGTGTTAATTGATAAGCAATCGCTAATCGCTCCCTCCACGGCAGCGCCGGCAAAAAGAAAGTGAGGGGGCGGCCGTAAAAGTGTTTTTGCACCCGATGCGTTTCGCTTTCTTGCTCTTTTCCCCTCTATCATAGTCTCCCCGTCTCTTTCGCTCTCCTAGGTGTTCGCTTGTAGTGTCAACGTGATTATGATGATTATGCCGCCTCACGGCTTTCACAATGCTAAGCAAAAAAATAGCTCCGTTCACTTCTTTAGAGTCAGTTGATTTATTTATCCTTTTATTTATTACATTTCAAAGTTACTGAAGAGATTTGCAATTGTATTACACATAAAGTGCTTGTACCTAACTTAACTTGTATCATATTACTATTGCTTATTGCTTATCTTGGTGTTTTTTTTTTTTACCTTAGCTGTAGTTTTAAACGTAGAAATAGGCCAGGGATTTAGGGGACAAAGATAGGGGACAGGAGGACTTTGGAGCACAGCAGGAGGAATTTTCCAGAGGGGAAGGCATTGCAACATCGTCCGCCCGGCAATTGGAGGCATTTGTGCGTGAAATTACATTGAAAATTTAATAGTGCACACACACATACACAGATACAGGGAAAAAGTGCAGCACGTTGCAGTGCATTAGACACGCAAAATTTGCTCATTAATTAAAATGCAACTGCCAGCGAAAGTCCCTCGATAAATCCACTATTTCCTGGGCTCCGCAGATAAAAAGTGAGACTATCGGCCAAATCGTTCATTGACCGCAGAGTCATCGATCTGTGTGCATCCGGAATGAAGTGGGATTAACTTACAAGTAAATACATGTGTTTTAGGAAGTTTTCCAGATGGCAGAAAAGTGGAGCATTTGAAAAGTTTTGAAGGATTCGAAGCCAGCGGCGGGGAAAAGTCTTTTCCGGCACCAATAAATAAAGTATTATCAACTTTAAACGGCACAGAGAGAGAGAGAGAGAGAGGGAGAGCTGGCAACTTTTCGCACGCAATCATTAGTTGATTGTCTATCGATCTGCTGGATTTTCGCGCGATTTTCCCACCTGCCCGCCAAAGTCTTTGTCGACACACGTGGAAACTTGCCGCGCATTTCTCCTGTTGCGGTCGCAAAAAAATGAGGAAGGTGGTAGCAGCACACAAACAGAAAAAAAGTCTGGAAACCCCTCAGCTGATGCAATTTTCCTGTGCGAAAATTAACAAACAAATACACACTCAAACACACGCGAGTGTGGCAAATGAAAATGCGCGCGCGAGAATTCAATTTGTGGAACAGAAAATGGTGTTGGATGAGTGGCTGATGTGGATTGGGAATGGGAATGTGTATGGGTATGGGAATGGGTACGGAAAGGGGTATACTCGTATTGCATGTTGTTGGGTTTGGCCTGCTGCCTGTTTACTTGAGGTTTCCTTACCCAGAACCCGTTCTCCCTAGACTTTTCCGCTGGCTGTCGGCATATGAGGGCCAGCCGGAAGGAAATGCAAGCGAACAAACGAAGCGCGCCAGGCAAATACTCAGTTAGAGTGGGTGGAAAACGATGGGTGGCTCAATGGATGGCTGAATGGATGGTTGAATAGATGGTGGTGGTGCACTGACTGGCTGGTGGTGCAGTGGTTTCTCCGGTTTTGGTTTCGGTTAGGCTCTGCAGCAGCGGCAAGAATGTCTTGGCTCAGACCGAAAATTGGCACAACCGGAAGTCGATTGAGTTCGCTGCTGCCGGCAGACATGTCGCCAATCATTTGCGGGCTCTCAAAAAGGGTTAAGACCTGCGAACTTAAAAGCGCTTTCTTAAAGCGACTCACTTTCCGAATTTAACGGGGTTATTGGGTTTGAAAAGTTTAAGTTAAAGAAAGAGAAACCCAAGAGTACAGGCTTCAGAATCTCAATAAACAGATACGAGACTAAAAAAAACGAAAAAGCAGACAACCTTGACATAAAAAATTACAATCTAATCAACGCTTAATAAAAAAGTTATAATCCTAAGAGCACAAGCGAATGATTCCCGTATTATGCATACTTTTAAAAACTGCAAGCTTTAAAAACCTACAAAAATGTATTTAGGTGGAGTCAAAACCAAACAAAAGTCTAACACCTACCGAAAAAAAATAAATATATGTAGGTATATTAACCAAGAATTATTTATTTAGGAATTTATAACAAATTTCAATCTAATCAGCTGACAATGAAAAGTACTTTTGAATTGAGCTAGTGGTTCGCCAGTTGAGAAAATATTTCGTTGAAAAAGCCACCAATATTTGCATTATTTTCGCGGTAAAATTCAGCGCTTCCAGTTCAACGTTAACAACTAAGTCCCTTTAAGAAAACGTATTTGGTATTGGCCATGGTAACGGTGGCACCCACTCAACAGAACCCAAAACAATGCACTTGGGCTCCACTGTGGTGCAAGAACCTAAAAGCAACTAATTAAAGCCAATCAAACAGAGAAAAAATTAAGAAAGAAACCATTTTAATTCAATTTTAGGCAGCTGAATCTCTAAAATTATAATATAAACAAAGCTTAATAAATTAAATAGCAATTATACTCAATTGAAATGCATATATTTACTTTATATAAATTTTGTGAAATTTTTCGCATTTTTTTTCGGTGCCTAGGTAGTTGGTCCAAAGAGCTGCTGGAATACTAATGTTGGCAATCTGTTTTGGCGGTGGGTGGGGGGTGGTGACTGTTCGGGTGGCTGGGTGGTTCGACATGCCACGCCCCTTGTCCGCGAATCCCGCCTGCAAGTTGTGTGCTTGTAGGGCCAAATATTTCTATTATTAATGTCTGTTTATCTGCATGCGACGATGTCAGCCGCCCATTTCCCCCTCCCACCCACTATAGACAGCCATCCTCACTACATATACATATATATGCTATATACCCCCGATCCGTGGGTGAGTCTTTGTTTACGCTGCTTTATGAGCTTCGATTAATTTTGCGCGTAAATGGCAAGCGGGAAGAGCGGAGATGTGAAGCATTTCCTCGGGCAATTTGTTGTTGTTATCTGCGAGGCTATATTTAAACATAGTTTATTAGTTGTTGTTGCAGCGATTATAACCGCTCACTATGGAAAAAATATGGCAGACATTTCATTCGGAAATGGCCAGAATCGAAAGCGAAGGAGTGGAAGAGTCGCTTTGGGAAAACCAGCACACTTAGTCGATATTATTTTTGAAAAAATCTACTTTAAAATTATGTTGAATTAGTTTCCTATACTTTTCTTTACTTTTGAATAGATTTAAATTAGTTTAGAAACGTAAACCTGTTTGGTAAATAAAATTGTATGTTACATACAACTTTTGTTGGGAATCATATTTCAAAAACAATAATGTTTTCTAATAAATATGACACATTGAGAAATATTTTTGATACCCAAAATTTCCCAACATTTGAGTTTAGATATCGGAAGAGTCATGAAGCTCCAAATATATGGGATTTTTCAAGCTTTGCATGTTTATCTTCCATTAGTTTCTTGCTTACTCACTCAATTAATAAACAAAACTCAGATTTTTCTATAAGCTTCTAAGTCACTATAATACGAATTGGCGACACTTCTAAGCTTTCCAGCCTTAAAATGATCTCATAATACGTTGTTTGTTTATTTTTTTTGCCAATGCACACCTATTTTATTGAGGAAAGTCTACTCGTAAAAAATTGCCGGTCGTAAATCATCCAAAATAGCTTTGTAGCACTATTTGTGTTACTGGTAGTGCCATTTTAGCAGTTAATAGCCAACGCTTAGTTTGTTTGCATTTTTGAGATAACATTCCCTAATTATTATTACATTTGTAAGCACCAGAGGTGCAGCAAAAATATTAATAAATAAGAGGCCCAGCTGCTTCCCAAGATAGTGCAAATTTTAAAGCAAACATGAAAGGGAAATCGGTTGAGTGCGGTGATCAAATGTTTGCCCACAAATGTATTCGTGTTTAGGCGCAAATTGTTTAGATAGTGACGCACCCCGTTCGAGATTAGGCGTTCTTGATAAACACGGCTAATAAACAGAGTCCGCGAGTAAACAAACAAAAACATTGCGAAAATATAAAAATACCAGATTCGCGCAGACATGTGTTTATACATACACCGGGAAAAATCTTTGACAAAAAGTTAAGAGCTGCATACTTGAATATTTTTATTAATTTGGAGGATCAATTACAAAATCAAATTATTACAAAATTTCTTTAAAGCTAATATTAATTGAAAACGAACTATCTTTTCAGGACAACAATCGTATGACACTTTAAAATCTATTTCATTTAGTTCAATATTAATTTAACTTAACATTAATACTGTCTGGAATATCATTGCAAATTTACTTTTGATATTTTCGAAATTTAATTTCAGCATTTTAAAACTTACTCTTATTAAAAGATTTATTTGAGTAGCACACTTTATTTTTTCTTTTTTTGATTCAGTTCTATAGCAATAAAATCAGCTTAAACCGAAGCTTAAATTTGAGGAGGCTGTCTTTTATTTGAATGGCTCTGAAATCTCTTTAAAATTGGTGGTTTTTTCTCGCAGTGCACTAGTTCTCACATATGCTGGAGCTTTCCGCCATCGAAGTGCGAATCGCGTTATCTAATGAGTCGATAATGCGGAGAGTGGCGGCGTCAAAGGAAGTGCATCGGCTGCGGGTTTATTATTATTATTTTTTGTTGCTGTTTTTGTTTTTTCTGGTGAGCTGGTGAGCTTTTCTGCTTTCCGCGGAACCTGGAGGCGACTGGCCGACGTGACCGCCGGCACATCGGACGCAGCGAAAGCTTCCCGCGGGTTCTGGACTTCCAGTTCTGGGATTCGCCAGTGCGAGTATCACTCGAGTAGTCATCATAGTGGCTATATAAGGCCCCATGCAGGGCGTGCGTCCCGCGCATTCTGCAAACAGAACTCCCCGCGTTCGCAACTCAACCGGAATTCCATTTCCACTACACTCCCCTCGTAGTTTTCCCTAGTCGTTCCTAGACAGCATGTGGTCGAAAGTCGCCATCGCCGGTGCCCTGCTCGTCATGGGAGGTGCCCTGTCCGTCAGCGTGGTGGACAACTTCGCCTACGTGGATCGCTCCTTGCCGGTGGCCATGCCAAAGGCCAAGGGTCTGGCTCCCAAGGAGTAGAATACTCAAGGCTCTCCAGGATTCCAGGAAGTGGAGGATGTGGATCCCGCGAAGCAGCCGAATGTCCAGTTCCCTCGGCAGGAACTAGTGCCTTAAAGTCGGTGGATGGGATCCTTAATTTCCAGCAAAACTACTCCAACTTGTTCTTGATTTACCAGTTCGACACAAGTGGAAAGTAGTTTGTTTTGGGCTCTAAAAAAAGCCACTCCCTTCGTGCCCAGAAGAACAACCGACTAATTTGTTTATCAATGTTTAATTTATGTTATTATTATTTGTATTTTTTTGTTTGTGAAAATAAGTTAAGAAGTTCCTAATATGTAAGCAATAAAATATTTAAGCCCTGTGGTACATACATATCCGAATTAAATATGTGCCCTTCGTATTTACTCAGCTCTTGATTATTTGACATCCGTGAGTGAGTCGCAATTATCGGAGTTAATAATGAAGTATTGACATCGGTCGACAATTAGTGACAAAAAGATTACACTAGACCACGAAACCAAAGCGTTTTATTTGGTGGGCTTATCAAAGCCAATTAGCATTGCTATTTATTTGATATGTACATATACATATAGCGAAATCTCGCATTATCGTTAAGTGTATTTTGCACAGTAATTGCAGTGCGAAGAAGGGGTTTTTATTAATTAAATTATTTTTCTTTTTTGTAATATGGTGCTTTTCATTAGGAGCGTTTGGAGTTCTAGTATTGAGTTATCGCAGTTTGAGAAAGATATTCTTTTGAATATCCAACTCTCCCTTTTAATTCAAATGTATTTTATGTAGATTGCTCTTAGTTTTAATATTGCTGAGTAGCTAAAATTGTAGGGCTTAAATCATCCACAATCTTGTTTTTAACTGCCTCACCGTTGAGATCTCTGGTTTTCTCAGCCTCCTCTGGCTTTCCAGCCTCTTCCAGTTTGCTGGGCTCCTCTTGTTTTGTGTCCTCTTGCAGTTTCTTGGTTTCATCCTGCTTTTTAGTCTCCTCCTTTCTGACTTCCTCGTTTTTGACTTCCTCCTTTTTCTTGGCCTCCCTCTCAGCTGCCCACTTTTCCCTGATCCTCTGGTGACGCAGCTTGAGCAGCTTCATCTGGGCACTGCGCTTCAGGATCAAGGGCAAACCGACCGTGGAATAGTTGAATGGTGGCGAGTTCGGCGGTGAAACGGGTTTTGGAATGGGAACCTCCTTCTGGACAGGATTGGGATTAGGTGGCGGAGCAGTTGATGAGACAGTTGCTGAAGAAATTGGTGGAACAGTTAGTGGAGCAGCTGGTGTTGCAACTTGACGAGCAATTTTTGGAGCAGTTGGAGGAGCAACTGGTGGACCAACTGGTAAAACAGTTTTTGGAGCTACAGGTGGAACCGCTTGTTGAATTGCTGGTGGAGCAGCTAGTGAAGCAACTGGTGGAGCAGCTGGTATAGCAACTTGTCGACCAATTTGTGGAGCAGTTGGTGCGGCACCTTGTAGGGCACCTTGTGGAGCAACATAGGATGCAAAGGCCTGCGAAGGAGCCACTCCCACGGGAGCCCTCATCTGGGGAAGCTTGAAGTTCGCCGGAAATGGAGCTGCAGCCTTGATGGCTCCTGGCTGGTTGGCCAATCTCTTGACTCCCGAGGGCAATGGAGGCCTTCCACGATTGACTGCAGCGGCCTGTGCCGCATTCTTCCTCAAGTAGATGGCGCTAAAGGAGAGCAGCTGCTCGGCGGTGAAGACGATCCGCCGCTGGTCACCATTGTCCTCCCGCAGGACGGCCATGAAGCGCAGGGATCCCTGGCTGCTCAGCTGGGTAAGCTGCACCTTCGGTCCAAAAAGCGGCAGGCACTGGCGCACTTGGGCGAGACTCATCGCCGGCTTCGTTTGGGTGGTTGGAGTGGTCACAGCTCCACTGAGGGGGAATGGGAATGGAAGGTGCTTGAGCAGCGGGCATTATCACCTTCTTCTTCATCGGTATGGGGTCCTTCTTGAGATCCCTTGGGAAAACCCAGGGTCTGTAAGCTGGCTGCACAATAACCCTGGGACTTATATCGTTCTCGAACGGATTGATGCAGTGCGCCAGAAAGTTCGGTGGTGCAGGCAGTGGTGGTGGTGGCGTCTCGGGTCGCTTGCGTTTTCTGGGTCGCCGTGGAGTGGCGGCATTCCTAGTGCGCTTACCGCCACGAGTTCCCGTTTTGCGAACTGATTCACCACCCGGTGGCTCAGAGTTCCTTGGTGGTTCGGTATAAAGCATGATGGCTGCATTGCCCCACATCGCATTCGCCTGCTGCAAAGAGATGAACTCCAGTGGTTGCTCACCACTCACAAAGGTCACGGGATTGGGTTCCATCTGCGCTGGTTGCACTTGCGGCACTGGTGGCACATACAGATCCACCAGCTCAATGATCGTGTTCGGCTGCTCCACCATCACCACCGCAGTGGGTGCCTCCTCGATCTCGAGGGCATCCATAATTTCAGTGGTTTCAGAAGACCCAGTGATTTCGATAGTCTCAAGAATTGCAGTAATCTCAAAGGGTTGAGTTGTCTCAGGAGTTTCAGTGAGCTCAGTGGTTTCGGTAAGCACAGGGGTATCAGTGAGCTCAGGGATTTTGGTAAGGTCAGTGGTTTCAGCAGTTGTTTCTCTTAGCTCAGTGTCTTCAGTAATCTCAGTAGTTGCATCACTCTCAGTGGTTTCAGTACTTTCATTGGTTTCAAAACTCTCTGGAGTTTCCATTTCGGCAACTGCAGCTTCCCAAGCTTCCTGGGGCCTTTCTGCTTCTTCAATTGCGACACCAGGATTTTCCGCTTCTATTTCCTGGGACATTTCAGTGTCATTCATTGCGGCAACAGGATTGTCCACCTCCATCGTTCCTTCCTTCGGTTGGCGCCTGGAAATGAGACGAGGTCAGTGGAGAGCTAAAATGGGGGAATGGGGAAACAGGGGAATCCCGCCCTGCAGCCACACATATTAATTTGCATTTGGTTCAAGCCTCATTTGCTTTTATTCCTGCTGACTCCGCAACTCTACCCACTACCAATTTTACTGCCTCTTCGTTGCTGGTCAGTCAACAAAATATATTCAAAAAAATAAAAACATGATCAACAATCCAAATATAAATAATATGAAATATTTTATATTATATATAATAATAATAATTGTAACTCACTATACAAAAGAATTAATTTTTATTTTAAAATCAAACTTTAGTATCTTCATCAAAAGACCCTCTAAAAGATATACATTTTATACGGAAAAATACAAGCTAAAAACACGTGTTCCATAAAAACCCAACGAATAATAACGAAGTATATTAAAATTTCTCTGAGTGCATACACACAATTCCATGCCCCTTCCACAAACACAAAAAATGACTGGCAAGCCGCAAATACTTTGTCAGGCTCAAGTTGACAGTCGTCCTGGATCCCGAGTCCTTGTATTTTGTTCCTGGCGCCATAGGCTCGTTCTGGGGTCCCCTTTCCCCTCCCCTCCCCTCTCCTCCCTTCCCTCTTTTCCTCCATCCCCCTTTCCTACGCCACTGTCCCCACGCATTTGACACTTTTTTGCGGAGAGCCATATGCCGGGGATTCCCCGTCCTTCTCGCTGTGTGTGTATGTGTGTGTGTGTGAGTGTTTCTCTCTGTGAGCTTGTGTGTGTTTGTAGAGGCATTTGGCAGAACAGATTGTTGAAGATTTGATTTCGGGCAGCGAGCTTTGCCACAGGACCCGCCATCGCCCATCGCCCATCGGCCAGAACAGTCCGCCAGTGAAACAATCGTTAATCTAATGAAAGATGACATTTCATGTGGGCCTGGAGATGTTTATGTCCCAACAAAACTTGAGCTCGCCGGCTCCCGGCTCCCGGCTCCCTGTTCCCTGCCTTGTGACCACTGGCGTCTCCACTTCCCAATTTCCCTTCCCCTTCTCCTCTTTTCTCCCCTCCACTCCCACTTCCACCTCCACAGACCACCGAAGAGATGGCTCTTCCACTTGCTCGCATCTCATCCGATTTGCTGGGGGCATTCATCATTCCCCGGCTTTCGGAGCTTTGATGAATAAGCGGCTAGTTAAGCAGGGGAACCCATCACTTGCTCCCCAAAATGGGTGGAAAAGGGGGAGCGGAGGGGAGGGGAGGAGTTTGGTTTGGAGGGAGCTGGGGGACTGCCGACTGCGATCAAAGGTCAATTTACAAGCAGGAGCTGCAATCCTGGGAAAGAGGCTCTCCTTGCTGCCATCTTGCCACACATATCAAATTAGGCATTCGTCACTTAATATACGACATAGTAATCTTCTTCCGCCCAGCACTCAGTGGCCCAATAAAATTTGATTAGCCAAACAGTTTGGTTGAGTGAAGAGGGGGGGTGGTGGGGACCAAAGGACAAATCCTTGGGAGGCCCGAGAAATATTAGAACTTATGGGGGCCAAAAGGGTGAGTCACCCCACTTTGTGGGGGGACATGTGTATTGTGTATTCATGAGGCCAGTAGGCGGCGGCCAAGGGGACGCGACAGGACATCGGGCAACTTTGGGTTAATTTACATTATAAACTTTGAATATTTTATTGTTTGTCCGGGCTAAGGACACCAGCTGGCTTCGGGCAAGAGATCCTGCTTCCCGTTCCCCTGAATCCCCTTCCTCCTAACCACGTTTATTGACACTTTGGTGGGCCAGAGGGGCTCCTCCGGGTGGAAAGGTTCTTGTGGTCAGCATGGAATTTGATTTAATGGCGGCATCAAGATTTTTGGCCAAATTATGAGGGAGCAAGGACTTGCGTTGCCAGGATGCCACGTCCACTGGCCGGCCATCATTAGCAATGGATCCGCTCGTTAAGCTTTTAAGCATCGAGTTACTTAATAATTGAACAGTTTTCGTTGCCAGCCCATCAGTTAGTTAAATCGGCCACAGATTTCTGCCCACCGAGTTGGGGGCACGGGCCTACAGGTGAGTATTGAGTTGCACGTCGAATTCACTCCGACATCAACGCACCATAATTAATGCATTTCACCCCGGGCTTTTGAGCCCAATCGAAGCTGAATATTGAATATCAATAAATCGTGTTTCCAGCTGCTTAGTACAATTGCGAGCCTTTGATTCCAGTGTAACATTCCATTTGGCAGAGTTTGGCACAGTGCAGCGCAAAAGTGTCGAAAAAAAAATCATTTATCAACTGTAAAAGTTTATTTTTCTTCAATAAGATTATTAAACATTTAATAAAACAATTTTTTTACGTTTTTTAAATACTTTGGAATATATTAAAATAGATTTCTATACATTTGAAAAGTTTTCTTGACAAAACAAATTTATTTGACTTTTAATAAAATAAATTGATTTAAATTTTAAAAACATTTAGTTACTTTTTTTCGATACATTTGAATGGCTCTATATATTAAAAAAATATATCTTTCCTCAACAGGTTTTTATAAAAAGAATTCCTTCATACAAAATATGTATTACTTTTACAAATTTATATTAAATTTTTGTTTCAATAAGAAATTTGTATATAATTTTAAATCACTTAACTTTATTATTTTTTTTACATATCTTTTAAAGTGTAACTGTGCCTTCCTTTTCTTTTCCTTTTTAGTTAGTCGCACTGATTTCACCGGATTTCTGGCTATTGAAAAGTGAACTTTATGGGTTTGGAACGTTTTCCCTAAAACCAGCTTACAGTGCCTGATGAAAGTTTTCGCCGGCGCTGCTAATAAGCTACGTGTCGCAGTTACCTTTCGGGTGAGTAAATTTGGCGGAGGTGGGGGAAATTGGGGTGGCTTGGGTGTTTGGGGGCTTGGGGGTTACGCGGCTTTTGGACTAATAAAAATACGAGACAGTTTAAGCCGCCGCCGTTGCGTGGCTGCTCTTTGTTGTTGGCTGCAGTTGAACCACACATGAATAAACTGCCGCTAATCCAGCCACCCGAACCACCCCTTTACCTGCACAAAAATCAAAAAAAGAAAACAAACAAAATTAAAACAAGTGGAAGCGAGAGAGAGATAGAGAGTCAGGGGGAAAAGAAATTAATAATTTATAAATGCTCGCTGGCGTTAGGGATTAAGCTCTGGATTTTCAACGCCTTTTGCTTTGGAGGAAATTTCGCTGCGACCTTGGAGATGGGGGAAAAAGCAGAAACTCATTTAAAGAAATGTTTCCCTTATCACCGCCCTGGCATCGAAATTAGCCAAAGCAAAAAGTGCGAAGCAGAAAATGGAAAAGCGGGGGTTGGTGGGTGGTGGGTGGTCCGCTTGGAAAAAAAAAACAAGGACAAAGCGTATGCAGGCACTGCAATAAATTATAATGCAAATCCGCCTTCGAGATCGCAACAACAACGGCTACAAAATGGGCATTAAATGCCCGCCACTTGACTGCGCCACCCATTTTTTATACTTTTTCTGCTCATTTCTTTTTCTTTTTTTTGTTCTTCACTCCAGCGCCTTTTTTTGGGCGCACTCTGCCATCCTTGTTGTTCGTCCATTTAAAATGATAAAAATCGCAAACATTTTCTGCGCCCGCAGTGAACAGAGGGGCTTCAGAGGGTTAACCGATTTGATAGGAGGGTTAAGGTTTAAGGGAAGGGTGGGGGGAAGCAGCAGGAACGAAAGCTTTTCACTCACCAATCAAGAATTATTTCTGAACGTATGTATAGCTGAAATTTCCTTGCTTCGGAACCTATTAAACTTAATCTGAAGTACTCCCAGAACCGATAAATTCAACTGACATCTAACCCAGAGTCTCCCTTTTTAGGGTTAAAGTCTAAATGAAAAATTTTAACTTCCTAATTGCTTATTTAAAATACGTGGATATGTCTAAGGACTGACTCTTAATCAGTCAACAATCGATGAAATATCGATATAACTAACTTTTGTTAAGGTATTGTATAATTGAACCATACCATTTGAGAAATAATCATCATGGAATGTTATAAATAAAATAGTTTTTTTTTTAAGTTTTACAATCAAATGAATGGGAATATGGATGGGGAAAAAAAACTAAAAACCATAATCTAATTTTTCAACACTTTTAAAAGCATTTAGGTAATTTTGGGACTTAGTTTAAGAGAACAAATTAAATTCATATCTTTCATTGGTATTGTTACTTAAGAATAAGATAGAAGACTTTTTTGCTGTTGAATGCAAATCAAACAATTTTTGGTTCTTATAGCTTCAATCCTAGGCAGCACATCCTCTAACATATGTCCTTTGTCCCATTTCCGATTTCATAACAAAAACCGCCCCCAAATGCGAAATTATAAACATATGTAAATGTTTGGCTGTCTTGAGGGTCTCAATTTCGCCTCCATTCAGCCATTTAATCTGCCGCAAAATGTTTGAAAATTGCACTTTAAGGCGAAAAGTTTAAATGCGATGTGCTGACAAATGCGTTTCGATTTCCATTCACAAAGGGGATCGGAGTTGGGCCTTTCCATATATCTCAAAGTTCGGAATTAAATTAAATTTCTTTATTGGCACTTTTTTTTGTCCTGCATTCGTTTCATTTCGTTTGCTACGCATGTATGCATGTATGCAAAATGCGAGGAGGGTGTCCTTCTTTTGGGTGGAAAGGGGGTGGTTCGGTGGGGGGGGTGAGGAGGTGAATGGGGGGTTGGCTAGATGGACAGCCAAAGCAATCAGCAGCAATAAATGATAAGCTTCGAGGCAACAAAGCCGAGACCGAAAGACGCACATGAGCACAAAGAGTCGTCCGGACGGCGGAAATTCCGTTTTTTCTTTTTGGGGGAGGAACTGGGGGGCAGAAAACGTCTTAGATGCCGCAGACCAAGAAACTGTCGTCCTTGGAAAGACGAAAAAGTGGTGGTGGGCAGTGGAAAATAGGCTTTTGCCGTTCGCTCTCCCTTGGTCAATATCGGAAAATCGAAGGAGGAGTAGGTGGGGAAGGAGGATGGGGAGGAGTAAGGGGCGTGTGTTGTCTGGGGCTACTTTGCAACAGATTTGCCGCTAACGAAGCGCACGATTTCCAATAATACTCAGAATGCGTCTAGAGATGCGGCGTCTACTCTTCCATACCCTCAAAAAATATTGGATCAGGGTAGCTTGGTGCTAGAAACAATAAGCAAAAATTTATATTTTTTAGTTTTCCAGAACATACAAATACTAAAATTTCCAAGGCTCATAATATATATTCAGGAAACTAATGACTTATTTGCCATACTGTTTGGCAACATTAAGTAATACATTAATTAGTTTACGTTTACTCTAAAAACAACAAACAATATTTATATTTGTTTTAAGCAATATTATTAATCAGCATTATCCAGTGTTGTTTAGCTGTTACTTTTTAAACCCATTTGCTTTCCAACTCTCTTCCTCATATTTTACGTATATTCACACCATCCCTAAACAGGGTATCCATCATGGCCAGCTTTCGATGCCCACTCCCTGGCACATATGCCAACACAATCAAGGGGAAGGGTGAAAGGGGGTGAAGGGGGGTCATAAAACGTACGCCAAATGGACACAAACACTCGCTTTCCCGCTCCAAAGCTGCGACTTGTTGGCCGGACTTTGCCGTAATGAGTTCCCTTGTGGCCAAGCCGTATCGCCTTTTTATGGAGCCACCCTGAAGGGGGAGGGGGAAAGGGGGAGGTTGGTTGGCGTCAAGGTGAAAGCCACTTAAAGCCAAGGGCAGGGCTCAACAATTTCCAGTTATCATGTGACAGTAATGAAGTGACAGACGGCGGCGAGAGGAGATCCGAGGAGACCGATGACAACTCGACCGCAAAGCCTGAAGTGCCGCACTTTTCCATGGAGTGGGTGGTAAAATGTAGGGAAGGAGAGGAGGGGGGGAGGTATATGCCCATTTTACTCTTAAAGCCGTTTAAAGGCCGCTCATCTCTGTTCGGACATTTTGGCCAGGCTCTGCGGTTCTCGGACAGCGGCCACATTAATTATTAATTGCAGAATAATTGCAAAATTGTGTTTGGCCAGGTTAATTTATGCAATAAAACCACCGCTGGCCTGCGGTTCTGATCTCCTTCCTCTGCTTCTTCTTCTTCTACCACTTCTTGGCCGTTTTTAAAGTCGCTTTTAGTCGCTGGCCCTTCACTCAATTTGCCGCTCTTCATTCGGTTGTAATTCCTCAGCTCGTTTGGCGCAAGTGGCCTTTTTTGTTTTTCATTTTTCTGCGCCTTGTTTCGGCCCGTGTTTTGGCCCGGCTAATGAGCCAGTGATGGTCATGAGCTGGCGACCCCCACCCCCGGGAAAAACCCTCTCCAGTAGCGCCCCTTTTAAGCCAGAGCAATTACTTAATCATTTGCCTAACGACCGAAAGGCAGGCGAAGGCAACAACAGCAGAAATTAGCAAAAATTAAGTGAGAGTGGAAGTGGAAGTGGCAGTGAATTTGGGGCCGGGCATTGGAGCTTTGGCTATTTCGATGGCGATGGCGATGGGAAATCCATGTGGTCGAGCGTGCGGTGGATTCTGGTGCGGTTTTCTAATTTTCAATCAAGTGCTGCAAAGGCCGAAAAGTATGCTACGCAAAATATGCTAAGTTATTCTGAAAGTATCTGCGCAGTTCATACTGCAATAATTGTAATCGATTTGGGCCGCAAGTGAGTAACACTTTGGCCAAGAAAGTACTAAAGTTAGGCTCGAAATAAAAATAAAACATAACAGAGATTAAAGAATAAAATATATTTTATCAAATAGTTCTGGGTATAAAGGTTTTTCGCTCAAGAGTTTAATTTACATCTTAAAGTGCTTATTGTAAATAAAAATGAAATTATAGAAAACAAAGAAAATCCTCTGCTTACATTTACGTTTTTTACTTTTTTGTAAAACTGCTGTTTACCTTTTGATTACCTTGAGTGCACTTTGTGATCCTCATCGCGAATCAATTTACACAGCTACCGGAGTGACTAACCTGTTGATAAGACCTGCTTTGCCATCACGGCTATTTATAACGAAAAAGCCATAAGTATTAAAGAACACTTTGAATAGTTATCAGCTATCAACAAGGCGTAAGAACAGATATTTAGATTTAGGGGATCCACCAACTATTTCTCGATACATCAATGCTTTTTCGCAATTTCCTTGTCGTGAAGAAGAGTAGGGATTTAGGGACTGGAGGGACGGTAAAATAAACATAAACATTTTTGATATCTCAAATATTTTTCATTTAAAATTCTTTGGCCGAGCGATGGGTCCGCCCAGCAGGAACAGCAACACGCAGGATTGAGATGCTCTCGGCCTTTTGGTCCTGGCTTGTTATTATTATTATTCCACTACTTCTATCTCAGCTTCTATATCCATATATATATTTCAACCTCCACTTTGGCTTTCTTAAAGCTCGCTGCATCTGCATCTGCGTGTGCCAGTGCCTGTGTGCATCTGCAAGATACTCGAGCTCGTGCTGGGTTGTGTATCCTTTGGATTTTAGCTCGGGCTCGGGCAAGCATATAAATCTATTATCCTTTAATTTAGCCACAGAAATAATGAAGCATGTAAGAGTCTTTTGTGTATCTTTGTGCCTGCTTGTTTGTGTGGGGGTGTGCCCTCTCCTTTGGAACCCCCTCCCTTCCCCCTTCACCCCCCTCTATCCATCTTCGTCTACACCCCCTTTCAGCCGCCTCTGACACACATAAATTCAATCAACGGCAATTTGCTGGCAGAGCTGCAAAGGCGTCGACGTCCGCAAATGTGCAATTTATTTATTGTTGCCATGGCAAAGTCTCTCGCAGTTGTTTTCCTACCCCGCAACTCCGTTTCTCCTACGCAATTCTGCAAATGAGCTGCAAATGATTTCAACTCCAGTTGCACCTTATCCAATTTATAAGGAGATTTTCTTTAGTTATATTTGAGTCTAATTACAGTAAATTATTAAGCTGGTGAGAACAATAAGGCGATTGATTACCTTTTTGGTAACTTAAATATTTTCACACTTCATTATATATTTTTATTTTTTTTAAGAGTTAAATAAAAGTTTTTGTCACCCCTAAAGTATTTGCCCAAATCCACCCATTTTGGGTGGATTTAAACAATAATAGCTTGCAAGTTTAAATGGTGTTTTTTTGGTTGTAAAATCGTGTACATTTTATATTAAAATAAAGTGTTTTTTATGGCTAAAATTAAAAATGAATTTTATGCTGTGAATACATCTCCCTGGTTTTCCGAGGGTATTTCGAACTCTTTTCATTCAAATTGGGCCTTTCTTCCCGTTTGTTGCTGTATCTGGAAATTGAATTTCCGTTTAGCATTTGTGCGATTTTGGCAATTCATTAAATTTTCGAGCGGAACGGGCTTGCAGTGCTGCAGTGCAACTAGCGCTCGCTGCAGGCAAATGGAAATGTAAATTTTCCGACTCCGAAACCGAAAAAAGAGATGAAGATACGGAGCGCTGTCGACAAAGGCGGAGCGTTAAATTGGCAACACACACATGGCCGGGAAAGTGTGGCAGCATCTGGCTTGGCAGCTGCCTTAATTAGTTAATAAGAAAAGCGAGTTTCGCCGGCTTTTGAGCCATCCATGCATCCACCACGCACTTTTCCCCTCCAGCGGATTCGGCAAAGGCGCACAGCCAATAATTGCATAACGAAGTTGGCCCTCTTTTCGATACCCGATACCCAATACCCGATACCCAATACCCGATACTCAGTTGCCAATACCCAACACCAGGCATATACTCGCCACTCGATTCTGTCGATCCGAAAGGCTCGAGTCGTTATCGACTGCCTCGATTAACTTCGAGAGCGGCTAATCGCATCAGAGGGAATTATCCCGGCCAACGATTGATTTACGGGACGGGACTCTGGGACTCTGAAAAACTGCGAAGCGCAACTCCTTTTAAGCCGCTGCAATCTTGGGCTCCTCGCAATCAATTCCATTTTGTGCGGCATGCCCCGATCCCCCAACTCCCCGATCCGATGCCACGCCCACTCGATTGAGTTATGATTTATTGCCAGGCAACAGGTGAGGGCGGACCAAATGGCCGAACTGGACACCTCCGCATCCGGAGAACACTGAAAACAAGGAATGATATATGTTTTGTGAATAATAAGAACAACTAATTGTCCTCATGTATCTTTTTGTAAAGAGACAACAATAATATTTAGAAAATACACAAATATTAAATTCTTATTCTTATTTTTTTTAATACATATTTGCATATAGCTTTAAATTTAGGAACATTAATGGAGGATAGTTTTGAATTTGTACGTTGTATGTCATCAATGATTACATATTATTTGTTATTCCCGCATTATTATTTAATATTTTCTTTAAGTCCATGCCCCATCTATACATTTTAGTAAATTTAGTAAATTTTAGTTGCTCAAAAACGTATTAAAAGTTCAAAGAAAAAGTATCTTCCGAAATAAATAATTATTTTTTTGAGTGCATGCCACATCCGCCTTGTTGCCACGCCCCCTGCGAGCCGCAGGCGTAAAGTTTTCGCGCCATCCTCATAAACTGTCCCCCGCCGACGTCGCATTTGGCATGCAGGACAGGAAGGACACGGCTCCACTGAAAGTCAGGGGATTCCGGATGGGGATTCGGGATGTAAGGAGGAGGGGGCGGAGGGGGATGGGGGATCTGCAGTCGGATTCGGAGCCGGAGTCCCACTGCCAACTGATTAAAATGCGTTGCAGGACCGTAAAGGCGCTGAGTCGACGTCGACTGCGCTGCCGACGCCGCTGCATTTGCATTTATATTGTTTTGACCCGAGCATTATTATCATTTCTTTTCGCCCGCCCTCTCTTTCCCTTGTTCCCCCTCCCCCATCTCCTTTCCCTTCCCCTCCCTTTGCAGTGTCACTTTGTGGACACGTAGTCCTCCTCCACGCCCACTGATCCTTGATTATGCCCCCGGCATAAAGCCAACTTTGGCCTGCAACTCGCCCCGCGAAAAGTTCCGCTTAGCGGGTGTTTTATGGCACTTTTTGAACCCATTCGGTGGGCCAAAAACTTTGAGACGTTTTCCGCGACAGGGCGTCATAACGAGATACAGGAGCAGATATATAGTATGTGTGTACCGATTATGGCCCGAAAGCGAATGGATGGACGGCTGATTGGTTTTCCCGGGAAAAACGATTGGAAAGTTGCGTTGTGTGCGGTGGATAATGCAATCTCAATGGTAAAGTGTCCTGGCGAGCAAAAAAAATGGATACAAATATACTTTGTATACAGGGACGATATTCAGTTGATTTCGTTATGCAATACTATCACACTAATGGTAAGTAATACTTGTCTAAAAAATCATCTTAAAACTAAATTAGCAATGTAAAACCTTCCCAACCGAAGCACAATTTTTAGATAAACATTTTTTATATACTCACTTTAAAATTCAAAAGTGATTTCCAAAAATTCCTCTACTTCGATTTCCTAGCGATGGACCGTTGAAAATAACTTTTCAAGTTTCTAACCAAATGAAATAAATGAACGAAAATACCTTTCCCGTTGAGATAAAACGATTTTTGGCCATTTTTTGCAAATTTTACCGAAAAGAAATGTCAAAAATATGAAAAAATCGAAAAATTAATGAACAGCTTTTTCAAACATAATTCTTGCTTTTATTCTACTACAAAAGAAAAATAGATTTGTATTAACAAATTCGCACAACATTTTTTTAAACACATTTCGTGATAAATTTCAATTGAAAAGCTTCAGAATAGACCAGCCTTTCTCATTTGGGTGCGCATCAGTTTGACGTTGTGCCGCCTGTTCCTTTGCAGGAAGCTCTCCCCGTACTGTCCATGGAGGCAACCTCCCTTGCAAGCGCACCCAAAGATGTTGCACGGACCTCGGCCGCAATAGGTGCCCACGAGAGCTTCTCCATTGCCGCAAACGGTGATGGTGCATCCGTAGTCGGTTCTTTCTCCATTCACCTTGCCGCAGGACCCATCGTTTATAGTGAAGTCCAACTTGGCCATCGTGGTGCAACACTCTGCACTTGAGCCACCGAAGTTGGCCAAAAGAGGATCGCGAGGAGCACTGAAGAAACTGGAACCACTAGCATCGTGGTGCACAGACTGATTGGACTGACTAAGGCGGCTCCTTTTATATGCAAAGTATCACAATAAAAAAACACTGTCTGTCTTCGACTATCTTTCGTCTCGAGCGGACATCTCTTATTTCTCCCACGTATTTCTTATCTTTCTTATTTTTTTATCGTGTTTATAAATATTACCGAGCTCACCGGTATCTGTAAAGTACAGTGTAAGCTCCACGAGACCCTCAATTTTGTGAAAATTCCCCAAATAAATGCACGAAAATCTGCTGTGCCAATTGCTTTGGCGAGCATTCGGCCTCTTCCCTTCAATGCCGTAAGTACCAAGAACAAAGAGAGATACTCAAAATAAAAATTACCAGAAAATGCACTATGCGGCTAATACCACTTCATACTCTTCAGAAGCCAAAACATCATATCAATTTTTATAACTTTAGCTCGAATACCTATGCCAAACAAGGTGTTAGCATACTCATACGTAAAGAGAAAATAACTTTTCAAGTTTCTATCCAAAATTGTAGTACCCTCTGCAAGGGTAAAATTAATGGTCATAAATTAATAAATCGTCAGTAATTCGGTGTTGGTTATCACAGGTCCAGATATTTTGAGATACAGTTACTTTTCGATAATAGAAATAAAAAGATAAGTTTTTTAAAATGGAATGACTGAATCGATTCCATAGAAGTCACCGAAAATTTAATGAACAACTTTTTTAAACATAAATCTCGCACTTATTCTACTACAAAAAAAAAAAAAAATGGAATTGAAATTTGCACACAATTTATTGTCAACAAATTTCGTGATAAACTTCACTTAAAAAACTTTGAAAATATACCAGTAACGGCATCCACGGAGCTGGTTGTTATCATTTGGGTGCGCATCAGCTGGATGTTGTGCCGCCTGTTCCTTTGCAGGAAGCTCTCTCCGTAGTGCCCGTGGAGGCAACCTCCCTCGCAGTCGCACCCAAAAATGTTGCACGGACCTCGGCCGCAAAAGGTGCCCACGAGAGCCTCTCCATTGCCGCAAACGGTGATGGTGCATCCGTGGGCGGTTTTCTCTCCATTCACCTGTCCGCAGTACCCGTCGCTAATTATGAACTCCAACTTGGCCAAAATCAAACTGATCGGACTGACTAAGGCGGCTACTTGTGTGTGCATAGTAAAATGCGATTAAGTTTGAGATAAAATAGTCACAGCAAAAAAACAGTGTATAATATAAACCAACACGAGGAGAACAAAGAAAGTGAGCAATTGCCAGTAAGTTGATAAGGTTATTGGGGCAAGCTTTTTCAACCTTCAAGTTGCGGCTTACACCCTTTTACATATACCCTATCACATATACCATTTCATTCATTTTATTAGAATGAATGAGCCCCCACTGTTAATCCATAAATCTATAACACGACTGCGTAGTATGTACATATGTACCTACCTACATATTGTTTTGTTTGTATTGCAATTTAATATAAAGGTTAACACGTTCCGAAGTTAAATAATAATAATAGTAAGAACACATCGTTATATTATATTATTGAACGAAACGATAAGAATAAAAACTTGCTTCCCTTGCGAAGAAGTGTTTAAAAAATCCTTTTCTAACTAAATGGCATATAAAAAAATCGTTCAAAATGGCAAAAAAACGCTGTCTTAAGTCATATTTTCCTGGACTCGACACATCCCATTATTTTTGTACGTCCACCAGCATCCTTTTGGTTGGAGATATTCAGAGGCCCGCATCAAAATGGCGTCCACGAATCAAACGAGGAAAAAAATTAAGGGAAATACAATAAGAGGAAAATCGAAGGAGGGCAACAAAAAACTTTGAAGCGGACGTGGACGCTGACTGATTAGAAAAATGTTGTAAGACACAAGAAGCGGGCCAGCAGGCACTGGAATAAAATGAAATAAAACAAAATGAAAAGGCGAAAGGAGACCGGCGACCGGCGACGAAATGAATAAAAAAGAAATTCATCAAATTTCGGGAGCGTAGCAAAAACGACGCCCCTGATCGGCAGAGGGGGTGGTAGGGGGGGTGAAGGGGGGAAGAAGGGGGGAAGCTGACAGGAAGCGGCTTGTCAGCACGCGTACACCAAAAAAATATTGTTGAAAACAGTTAGCGAAACAATTTAATGATGAATGATGGTCAATGGCAAATTCCGTGCATTGTGTAGCGGAAGGAAGCCATCTCAAGGGGCAGGGGCGGTTCAAGGGGAGGAGAGGGGAGGGGAGGAGTGGTTGAGGAGGGTGCGCTGGGGCATATCCTCACGGCTGACCAGATCCCAGCAGTCCCAAGTCCTGGAACTTATTAAAAATGTGTAAAAAGTGAGTCGAAATCCAGAGGAAGATGCTGGCGGAGCTTCTCGTTCGTCCGCAAAAGGATGTTCACGGGTCATCTTTGTAAGCTATTATAATTGCGAGTAAGGTAACATATTTCTCACTGATTTGGAAAAAGATCTTTATTAAATTCTGTACTTCTTATTTTGAGGACCCAATATTTTGCTTAAACACAATAGTAATATTTCCTAAGCTTATGGTGCTTATCTATTAAATTAAAAATACATATTAAAACTATTACTTTTGTTATTATTAATACCATGTCTTACGTATAAACTAAAAGATGTTAATAATTCGAGCTTAAAAATGGTTTTAATTTATTTTACTTATACCCAATAGTAATAAGAAATCAATACAATTTAATACGATTAATAACATTAATAATAGCAATGGCACTAGCATCTAAATAAAATCCATTCAACTTTCAAATTTCACTTTTTCGGTTGAGCTATGAAGACAAATTTGGTGGTTTGATTCCAAAAGTTGTTTTTTAACTTTCTATCCTAAAAATGTATAGGCAAATGAGCAAATCTTTTTTTTATATTATATTGCTTATTTTTTGCAATTTAAATTAAAAAAGTATGGTCCTTTTACAATCTACTATTTAAGTCGAAGAAGAATTATTTACATAGTCGTTTCTATTACTAAATTGAATCATTTAGTTGCATTGCAATATCATAGGCTTCCCCAAGTGTTTTTGGTTGTTTGCGTACTACCTGATATTTAAGAGGTCCTCGGAGACCGGCGATAAACGTATTCACAAACTGTTTCTCATAGACGAGTTCCTGATGTTTTTTAAACTCCACTTTTTTATATTGTCTCTCTAAAATACCAAAACATGCAAATCTAATTTTTAATATTTCCACATATAATTGAAAAATTGTTAGTTTCAAGTTCCGAATTTCCATTAGGTTTTCCATTAAATTATCCATACTTCTGTGGTCTGCAAACTTGTCTAACAACATTTCCTTCATTTCCTGCCAATTTAAGCTGGTACGTTCCCAGATGAGAACTTTGTCGGCTTCCCCGACGACTTTCCCGCGAATAGCTCTCATTATAAAAGCCGGACAATCGGTTTTATACACATTTTTAATTACGTTTAAAACCATGTCTTCCACGCTCCCAATAAAGTTACGGAGTGCGTACTGGTCACCATCGAATGTTGGTAATAAGTGAATCAAATCCAGGAAGTGTGATCCGATAAGTTCTTTTTGAATGTTTATATCTGTTTGGCTCAGATTTCCATGATCTGGGTTATTGGTTTCTTCCATCTTATAGAATTCTGCAAAGAAAGATTTCAACTTGTTAGATTTTAAATATGTATATAATAAATTTATTCAATCTTTGTTATTTTTGGGTTTATTTTCCTTTGTTGTTTCACAAATTTTTTGTAAGCTTTTGTTTGATAGATTTGATTTTTTTTGGCGCTGATATTTTTGTTTTGCTTAATTTCCTATTTTCAATGGCACAATTGACTATTTATTTTGAATTGGTCAGTTTTTCACTTATTTTTTTTTAATTATGTCTTGCACTCACTTTATTGAATAACAATTTCTGCGATGGTTTCCTTTATAATCTGCACCAGACTTTACTTTTATTCAGTACAAGTTTTCCGACTAACAGAATTTTATAAAGAACTGATTGGTTGAAGAGACGGATCGCGAGTAAAGTTGGCTCCTCTGAAAACTCCGAGGAACCCATGGAGCTGAAGAGCATCTCTTATGTAAAAGAGATTATATAGGGACATGTTTCTTATGTACACAGATTCGTAAACACTTCGAGCTGAGATTTGCTGACGAGGATTATCTGGACAAAGGCACTCAAGGCGGTTTCAAATTGCAGCGCCGACGCAACTGAGCCGAGATGCTCCATAAAGAATTTCTTGAGTGAAGTGAACCCGATCTTAAACGAATAGTTTCATACAGAACAAGAAAATATTTATCCACTTGAGATCGTAAACATTGGCTTGAACAACCAAAAAATGAGTCTTAAAATCTAGAACTTTCTCTTGTTACAATAAACATATAAAAAAATAGAAAAATATTTTGTTAGAACGAGTACTTGTGCGATTTGAAATGCGGCGTGGAAATCCGAAGACGAATCATTATGCGGGACTTAAAATGGCATTTATCACATTGACAAACTCCTGCTCCCCATTACTTATTCGACCCTCCTCCGATTCGTTTCGATTCGATACGGAATAGGAATAGGAATCGGAATCGGTATCAGTCATTCGTCATTCGTTCATTTGGCAATCAGAAATGAATTTTTTGCTGTCTGCGCTCCGTTCGGTTTTGCTTTGTTTGTTGTTTTGCAGACCCGTCTTCGATTCCTGTCAATTGGCGTTTGTCAAATGACTTCGGCTTCCCGGTACAGTTGCCTCCGTAGCTCCCTGGGCCTTTCTCCTACGTCACGTTACGCCACGATAAGGATGCTATATGTACACATAAAATATATATGTATATATATATAAGAGTGTGTGTGTGTGTATATGTATAGTAGGTTTGGAGCCCAGAGAACCGAGCCTGACAAGCTGCCAAATCTTTTGGCGTATCATTTGAATTTGTGCGAACTTGGAATTGCCGTTTCCTGCTGGTCATTTATCTGGGCCTAATGCGCTCCATGACAAGCGAAAGCATTGCTTTCCCATTCCATGATTAACAGGTTTCCCAGCTCCCCTTCGACGGATTGTTGTGGATGCCACCGATTCCGACTCCGATTCCCGCTCACAATCCGATTTCGATGCCGATGCCGAGGCACTTAAGGCGCTTCGCCGATGCCATAAACTCGGCCAGAGCCAATTAACCAGCACGGAGAACAAAATTGGACAACGGGAATACTATTAAATCTCACTTAATTTATTTTTAAAATTTTATTTTTTATTTTAGTATTGATCACATAATTTGTTTTTTGTTGTAATCACACATTACCTACATTATATTAGGTACATTGATTGATCATATTGATTTCTATTTAGGCGTTCACAAATAATAATTGTTTGTTTACAACTTTAGCCATCTATCCCATAAAAAAGTCTAAAGTACATTATTATATAGATTTATATATAGATTTGTTAATTATATATTTGTTAAGCAAAACTATATTCATTTGAAGGTATTTAACATAATTTCTGTTTGTATTTGATTGTATTACCTCTATAACATTTTTCAACGGAACTTTTCCTACTTACTTCTGAATTTTTTTTTGCAGTGCAGACAATTGTTGTCGCCGAGTGACCAAAGGATGCCCAACAGGATCCCTCGGCTCCTTGTAGGTGGGCTCGGGAAATAGGAAATGGGGAAATGGCCTTGGGCGTATAATTTTATTGTGATGAACTGATAATGTGACATTATTGTAACTCATTTGTCAACAAATTACGGGCGCTTGAGGTGGGCGTGGTCCTGTCCCGAGCCTATGTATCAATCAGTGTGCACAAGGAAGTCCCACCTCCCCTCTCCCCTCTCCTCTCTCCACTTCCCCTTCCTCGTCCTCTCTCCCCTCATCGCACACACACATACATAATAAATGAATCGTGCATGCATTGGAAAAGATCAAAAGTGTCAATAAAACAAAGGCAGGCAAACAGAACCCAAAGCGAACTGAAACGAACCCCAAAGGGGAAAACAAACATGGGGAGGTCTGAATGGAGCCGAGCCAAATGACAAAAGTGGCAAACGTGGCATAAATTACACAACCGCCACCCACTCGGGTGGCTAGTTAGGAGAAAAAAAAGCAGAAAAGTGGAGGTGATATGGGAATCCGAAGAGGATAATACCCTGGGAGGCAAATAGTTTGTGAAGCTAATGGAAAGGTTAGTGCTTTTAAAGGATGTTTAAAAGTTTTTTTAAAAGTTGTTTAAAAACTATTATTAGTAATTTAATAGTAATTCTTTTTTGGTATTAGTGATTTATTTATAACTGATAAACCTAAACCAAAGTTATATCATTCAAGTTCTTCAATACAAACTACTCTCCTACTCTCTCTTTTTATATCAAATGAGTACACTGTAAATATTTATAAATCCAGAAAAATGATGAAATCTAGAATTTTAGTTAGTATACTACACATTCGTATCCCTAAACTCCCAGCACAAGGGTATCGGTGCACAGGACATCGAGAGAGCTGCGAAATCCCCGCTTAACAAGTGGTCTCCAATGATGCGCGATAGAAGTTCACATGGCCAACGGGAATACTATGGGAATAGGAGTGGAAACAGGACGAAAAGGGACACCACCCCGCCCACATTTGACAAAGTAAATCAAGGAAAATTAAATGAATTATTGCCGCAATAAATGTGGGCGAATGGCAATATAAATTGTGTATGTCGCCACTTGAAAAGAGCGAAGGAAATTCCAAACACGAGATGCCAGCTGAAGATGGTAAGAAAAGAGAAGGGAATTGCAGATGGAGATAGGGAAAATAAAATGGAACCAAGGACACCATTTAGATACATATCAAACCATATAAACAAAATTCACAGAGTCCCTAACCAAACTATTATAGTTTCACACGACTTTTTATAAGCAACTTAATGGCGTAAAAAAGTTCTCCGTTTTAAATTTTGTATAAATAAACGATTTTGTCGACGAATATTTACAAATATGTCCATTAGTTAATAGGATTACTAATCACTGCGTCAGTAGACTTTATGTATGAATAATAAATATCTAATTGCCACTAAATGCATTTTCTGTTTTAAAAGATAATTGGATTTTTCCTATAATTTCTATATTGTTTTTAAATGGCGAGTCAAAGAAGCTTAACATAATTTTATTATTTTCATTTACACTCTGTTCCCTTTATCTTATTAAATTAATAAAGGAACTCAGTGTGCTATAATCACCAAGAGGCCTAAAGCTGAAACAATATTGACCTTGTTCTGTCTTCAATTTCCCCTTTTCAGAACATTATCAACGTTTTTTTTGTGAAAATTTCTATATAAAACATTTTTTATTTGCCATTTGGACTTTGATTTATTTCAATTGCTTATAATTTTCTGCACGAGTTTCCCACTCTGTTTTTGGGTGGGCGGTCGCGCATAAGTAGAAATAAATAAAAATAGATTAATGGCCAGCTGGAGTATCCACACAATAAATTCCGATGGCTCTGGAAAAAGGCTAAACTATTCGCTTTGGTACTTGTGCACGGAGAGAAATGAAATGAGTTTGTGAATGATATTGTGATATATATTTTAAATGAGATAACGAAATGGGAAGTATATTTTTTCTAAATTAAAAAGTTTTTAGTTTAGTTCATCAGCACAACAAATGATTTTTTACTGATCAAATTAACAACTTATTGTTTCAAATAATTATTTTAAAGCTCAATAGTAAATAATGCTTTAATGTTTCTTTTGTGCACTTCAATCAGACAAAAGCTGACTGACTGGTTCAGTTATGGTTCATTTAGCCTTGTCAGCTTCTCGGTTGTGACACAATTTTTTTCAACGCGTCTATTGCATCGCAACAGTGTCCTGCCACGCCTCCTTTCGTTCGCTGCCTCCCCCCGATCCCCAATCCCCATTCCCCACTCTTGCCACCGTTCAACTGACAACAAAGCAATGCTAACAAAATATAACAATAACAACAGGAAGACGAACAACAACGAAAGCTTTTAAGGCCGCATACATTTTTAATGAAACGAAATGCGGCCATTAAACATTCCAGAGACTGACTTCGGAGACGCTGCTGTCAAGGCATCCTGCCTGCAGCCCCTCCTCCCCCTTCTCCTCCTGCTCCTCCTCCGGATTTCCTGTTCCCGTTTTGCCCTGCGCCCATGGCCAATGTCCCCTACCCATCACGATCCCCCCAGCACCCGCCCCTTCCTTTAGCAACAATTTAAACTTTTATTAATTTTACATACACAACATCCACCCACTGCAGCCGCCATTGTTGTGGCGGGTTATTAAAAAACAAGCTGCCTGAAAATCTTTTCTTAAATTAATATTTCTTTGTACGAGTGAAAGCCGCTGTTGCTGCTGGAAAAGCTGGGGAAAATACAAAAAAAAAAAAAAAATACACAAACTTTGCTGGGGGAAAATCGAAACTGAAACTGAAAAATGAAGGAAAGCAAAGGAAGCTGGCCGACGACGACTTCCCGTTCCGTCGCCTTTGAAGCGGTTCTCCATTTATTTTCCCCACCTCAATCGCGTGGATGAGGGGCGTATACGTAATGTTAAGTCAACTCACGAGCAGAAGAAGGGGGGAGGGGGCGACCTTCGAGGGGGAGTGGGGAGCTGAACAGCTGTAATTGGAAGACTACGGGTAATTCTTTTCTATACGTACGCTTGGGCTTAACATTTTCAACGTTCGTTTGAAGTCGCACATGCAAAGAAGTTCCTCCTCCGCCGAGTGGCATGAATCAAATCTGCTGAGGAGCGCACATTTCACGCAGCTTTGTTTTGGTGTATTAAATGTCACGACGAGTGGATGGCGAAAAATTAAGACAGGTCTGGACATGGTTTTTAGTAATTGAGCTTGTCACATTTCAATTTCAGCTCGAGGCTTTTAAAAGCAGGGAAAACAGGTACAAAACAACCGAGGAGGCACAAAAACGAGTGGGTATGAGTTTTTAAGAATCGTCCCGAATCTATTTGATTATCTATTTATTGAAACCATTGGTCCATTACATGGGCCTAAATCGCAAAAATTATTTATTA